CCCTCTAACCGTTGACTGATGGCTAGTGAGCTTATTCCAACCCATCCGACGACAGATACTTAATTTACAGTAGGTCGTAGGTATTTAACGTGTGCTCGATTCTCCTGCCAAAATCACACGTAATCAGGTTACGTTCAGTACTCCACCTGCAGAGCCAACGTCACACAATCCTACACCGACTTATACAATGCTCCACAACTGCTAAGTTGTGACGTGTACAGGAAAGATTGAGAGCTGGAACTCCCTGGAAATGCCTACTTGTATTGTAAGAAGGCAATTGCAAAGTGGCCGAGTCTGCCTACCTTGCCAGTATTATCTCCTGCCTCCGTGGCAGTCCAGGGATAATACCTGTTGAAGATCAAGTTGCTGTTGTGCGAACAGCAACCAGGTTGCTTGTGTTGTGCGTGCCTCAACCATATAGCGGGTTGGAGGAGCTGAAGCGAAGATACACCCCCTTGCCATCGCCACACTGCTCCCCAAGTTTTCACCATCGCAATGAGCACCACATCGTGCAGTAATAATCGTATCAATTGTCTTCATGATTCCAACTGGTCCAGTCGCATTTGCCTCGTCTCACTTAGAACATAGACAGGTCACCATCTTCAAGATTTTCCAGTGTTACAGGTTACATTTTCCAGAATTTGCAATGATCCACTAAATCTGAATTTTAGCCAATCAATTGATACCAAATTGAGTATTAACCAATGGATGACTCGAAAATTCTTAACAGCATCGTGTGTTGCCACCAATTGTCCAATCAACATGAAACTTAGTCCGTAAATGCATTATGGTTTCTTCCATTGTATGTACAAGCTGCGTCCGGAAGTTATGCAGGCCGGCGTCGAAATTCCAAGCCTCTTGAAGTAGTTCATCATATTACACAGGATGTTGCTGTAACTTAGCCGTCATTGCGTGTTGAACGTTTTTTGCTGCTTGGCGTGGATTGCCGCGCCTACGGCTAGTAGTAGAGCATCGGCGTCGGCATCCTTTGCGTTTGATAGTAGCAGCTGAAGTACATCTATACCTATTGGCTTCATAGGTTCTCAGGAGTTGATTACTAGTTCTAGGCTCAACCACTTCACGTTTACCTTATAGCCATCCATAAATTGGTGCTCCACTATCCATTCAAACGTCCCTCGAGAGTGATGTGGTCGAATAGCTCCTCCGAATCTTCAAGCGAGCGTAGAATTTAATACGCAACGGGTGCACATTCATGATACCACCGTTGACTAGGTATTCGGCCGTGAAATAGTAGTCTGTGCTTGCCATAACGCGGTACTGGCCAACCCACATGATGCGCAACTTGTTCGCGTGTAGCTTCTCATTGACACGTGACCTCAACACGTAGTCACCGACTGAGAAGTTCCCGTCTTGCTTGAAGTGGTACCTGGCACGGGACCGCTTGTCCCTTTTTTTTGCGCTCAGCTTTCACCGAAATATGCATGATGCTTTCAAGTAGTGCAGCAAGTTGCTTCTCCATATTTGGCTGTGGATTGTTCAGTGTGGCAACATGTCCCTTCCCTCCAGGAAAAACACGTATCAAGGTGTTTGGGCACGGCAAACCAGTGATCAGCTCTATGGGTGAGTGGTTAGCTAGAGAAGGGACCGGGGAATGGTTGGTACTTGGCATTACTAACTGTAACAGATATGGCCAGTCTTGCAAGCCCTCGCGAAATTCCAGTGTCAATGCTTTCAAAACTTGCAAAATGTCTCGATTCACGAGTTCAACTGATCCATTTTACCACAGGGAGTACGTTATAATAAATTCCTGCTGTCATAAATGGCGTCGACTGAGTTCGGCGACGACTGTTGCCTTGAAATATGATCCCAGATTGCGCTCCAAGACCACAGGCTGTTCGCACCGGCTATTACTAGGCTAGGATCGCGGAAGCCGCAACAGTATATGTGGGGCCATCACAGGCCAGAAGGTCGACAAAATGTGTATCTTCATCT